CAGCCCAGGTCATGAGTTCAAGCCCCACACTGAGCTCTGTGTTGGGCATGGAGCCTACTTTTTAAAAAGAGAGAATAGCAGTTAATTTGTTCTTTTAAGTCTTAGTTGACTTTACATTGATGTACTCAAGAGTTGTAAGGTATGGAGTTACTTATCTAGATATAATTATGAGCAGTTTTTGTTGCACATAGTAGTTTCCTACACTGAAATTCTCAATCAGACATGGGAATTAGATCCAATTTATGCCCTGAGATGCACAATGACATAGTTGAGTAGTTCCACACTGGTATAATTATGATCAGCCTAACATCTGGAATAATCAGTTTTAAATGTTTAACTACTCTGAACTCTGACCCAAATTCATATATGCAGTTATAGAATTTATTTTTAATAGTCAAGAGAATTAGCAATTAAAACAATACTCTAAATAAGTATTGTTTAGAATGTTTACATATTTGCCAGAATCTGCCAGATAATATTTTAGTAAATCTCCATTGATAAAAAGCCTTTTTAAAAGATTACAACTTGGAAAATAACGTTTAAAAATATTGTTTAATTGTTTGGACTTGGACATTTATTTTCTATCAAATTATCCCTGGAATTCTTGAGATACTATTCTTTTATAATACTATATTTTACCCCTAGAAAATATTCTTATTTATTGCAAATTGAAAATTCTCTTTGTCGCACTAGCATTCCTTGTGATCAGTAGAGGGAGCACAAGTTTCCGAACTAACCCTCCATCAGAAAACTAAAGTGGCATCATCAGTGATGGTATTAAAGGGGAAAATTTTGAGTTAGTTTATATTTATTCATGCCCTGATAAAAATGAAAATTTATTAGGTAGATAGCCAAAAATAATAAAGATAAATGTAATAGCAGATTTGGAAACCATGTTTTCAGAAAAGAGATACAGTAACAAGAAAAAGCTTGATATAAATCTTTTAAAATTTAAAACTCTAGATTATAATGTATAGATTGATTAATATTGATTTAATTTTAATGGAGGTTTTGTTTTATTTCCTTATACATGCTAAAGGTCATTGTAGGGCTGTCTGAAATGGTTACTTATTTGATGTATTAAAATTTGGTATGACAAAAGAAGTAGTGATTTCTGTGTGGGCTAGTTATGTTTTTGTATTCTTTAAAGAAGGCTAGAAAATTTTTCTCAGAATAGTCCTAAAGACTGATTACATTGTGATTAAGAATTTAATTATTTAAGAACATGTACTTCAGGGATCCCTGGGTGGCGCAGCGGTTTAGCGCCTGCCTTTGGCCCAGGGCGCAATCCTGGAGACCCAGGATCGAATCCCACATCGGGCTCCCGGTGCATGGAGCCTGCTTCTCCCTCTGCCTATGTCTCTGCCTCTCTCTCTCATTCTGTGTGACTATCATAAATAAATAAAAATTAAAAAAAAAAAGAACATGTACTTCAGCAAAAGAACTCTTACACGAAAAAATCTTTTTTAAAAAATATTTTATGTATTTGAGAGTGAGAGAGAGAGAGCACCATGTGCAAGCGTGAGGGGTGGTAGGTGGAAAGGAGAGGGAGAAGCAGGCTCCCCACTGAGCAGAGAGTCTGATGGGGTTCTATCCCAGAACCCCAGGATCATGACCTGAGCCAAAGGCAGACACTTAACCATCTGAGCCACCCCAGGCTACTCCCCAAAAATCTTTTATAAATGTGGCTGGTAGTTCTAATGGAATGTTTACATTTTGTAAGCATTTGATGATAGAAAATGATCAGTGTCCTTGTCAAAAAGTTGTTATTAATTGGGATCCCTGGGTGGCGCAGCGGTTTGGCGCCTGCCTTTGGCCCGGGGCGCGATCCTGGAGACCCGTGATCGAATCCCACGTCGGGCTTCCGGTGTATGGAGCCTGCTTCTCCCTCTGCCTGTGTCTCTGCCTCTCTCTCTCTCACTGTGTGCCTATCATAAATAAATAAAACAAAAAAAAATTAAAAAAAAGTTGTTATTAATTGATTTATGAATGATGCTATTTAGATTACAAAGAAACTCAGATGATGTAGATGTTTACTTGTGATACTATGTTAGGGTTAAGTACAGCAAAAACCAAGGTACTTCAGCCTTCTCTCTAGGGTCTTATAGCTATCAAAATAATATTGCCAAACATTTTTGTAACACTTATACATTTTTTAATGGAACATCTCTTTGAGTTAAATAGGAACAATGGATATTGGTGCATTTAACAGAAGAGTTCTGTATAATACATCTTGAGATGTATTGAGATTTAGTGAGCTATTCAAGGTTATATAGTTACAAAAACGTAGTAAACATAGCCAGAATTCAGAGCTCTTAACTGCTAATTCAAGGAGTTACCAACTAAGAACTCATGTAGCAGTAGTCCAGGATAGATGATTTGAAAATATAAGAAATTGTTATTTTTTGTTAAGTGCCTATTTTGTGCGTGACATTGTGTCTGTTTTATTTGAGTAACAAATGAGAAAAATCATAACTGCCCATGAAATTATATCATATAGTGGTAATACAAATAGTAAACAAAGTCTATTTAAAATAATAAAATGATTGTATCATGTGAAAGCTGAAAGTGCTTTTTAGGGCTAATGCAATAGAAAACCCCCTGTATACTGTTATATAATTAAGAGAGAATTTGGTAGAAATAGCCAAGGAGGTTTTATTTACATGTGAAGAGAGTGGCTCTGAGATTGAACAGTCATTATTCTTAGAGTAGGGTAGCATTTCACATTCACTTAAATAGGTTTACTGAGTGGTCAGGATGAACAGGAGTGGTTTTGGAAACTATAGTTTAGAAGCAGTGCTAAAGCATATAATCTGAGCTACCTGAGACCTTGGAGACTATCTAGTCTTTGCATTAACTTTGTAGCTAAGGAAACAGACCTAGAGTGATTCTGAGTTACTTGCTGGAGGTCAATCACACAGCTAGATGGGCACAGAACTGGAATCAGATTCCTTCCAAATGCCTAGATATGAAAAAGCAGTGAAATAGATTGATAATAGAACCTAGAAGGTGGCAAATTGTAGATGTATATTAGCTCTGTGGAGTAGAATCGAGTATAATTTTTTTCAAAGATGTGATTTCCATCAATCTTTGAAAGACAGGAAAGAAAACAGTCAACTAGTTTTTGGTTCCTTGGGCAGAGCAAATAGAAATAGAAGGTTGTGGTGACCCATGAAACAGTTTGAAAAGTAGGGTGAGCTGCCTGGTGGTACATATAAAAGTGACTTTTCCAGCAACTTCTAAGACATTTTATTAATAACAGTAATAAAATAATGTGATAATATGAGCAACAACGACATCAGCTACCTTTTACTGAATGTTTACCCTGTGTCTAGGCATCATGTCAAGCACCTTACATACATTAGTTTCATTTAATTATTTCTGAGATTTAGTTTCCTCATCTATAAAATGGCATAGTAACAGCAACTTCAGAGAGATTATTGCCCTACTAACATAGGAAGTTGGCTATGGAATGAAAATTTGATTTCTGATTCTGTTGGAATTCCAAAGCTAGTGTTTCTCAAACTTGAGTAATGAATAGGCCCTCCTTCTAAAGGAAAAATAATCTGTCCCATACCCCATATTGACTTACTCTTATTATAAGACTTCTTAGCTAGGTGTAAATATAAATTCCTTAAGCTTATAGGCCTTATGTAATTTTTTAAAAACTAAAAAATATTAGAGGAAATACAAGCAAAACTTAAAAAAATCAATACAATTCAAATTAATGACATTAATTTAATGTGAAAGATGAAGTGTTTTTTTGCTGAAATGAAAATATTGATTGCAAGATGAATTTGTAGCTAGCTCCTATGGCGCAGGTTCTTTTAAATTTGGTATGCCTATATTGCCATGTGCTTTGTGATGACTTGGTTTCCCTGCCACTTGTCTTTATTTGGACTGCTTCAAAATGCCCCTTCAACTATACTTTGTAGTACCGTTTGACCTTCATTTGGAAGCAGTCCATTATTTATTGTTGATCCTACATCTGTTTCCATTAGTTGTGATGAAATACTACCTTTTAGTGCCAGTTTAATAGTTTGGAGCTCTGAAATGTCATGTCAGTGTATATTTAGTTAGAAGATGATGGTTATCTAGGTAATGTAGGATAGGTTTATATTAATTATTTTTCAGGTTATCATCTAGAAAAACCCACAAAATTTAGGAAATCACAAACTGCAGATCATAACCAGCCCTCTGATATTTCCACTTAAAAATTTACACTGCACTTTCTCTCAAAATGCTATATCATAGGACCATCTGGTTTCTGCAGGGTCATAGTGGAGACCCAGGAAAGCATCTATCTTCACCTACCTTTGTTGCTGCCTTCATTTAGGCCACCACTATTTTGCATCTCAGTTTCTACCACAGCCTCTAGTTTTACCCCCACCAAACTGTACTTTATGGTGCATTCTGTACTAGTGAGTTTCTATAATATAGATTTTTAGGACTCAGCTCAGGAATCACCCCTTTCTGAAACCTTTCCCCTATTGTTTCTCCTTGTCTCCTGCTTTTTCACTCCATCCATTATCACCTTCACCATTCTGACCCCTAGAATGAGTTAGTTATCTTTCCTTTATTTCTCCTTTTTAATTCCATAATATTGAAGAGGCATACTTCTGTTACAATGCTTATTAGCACATTGTGTTGTAATCTTTAATTTTTTTTGGATTTTCCAAGTAGATTATTAGCTTCTTGAAAGCAGAGCTTACCTTGTGCATCTTCTAACTAGCACATTATCTGAATAGGAAGAAAGTCTTGATGACATAGCTGTGATCTTGAATCATTGGTCAGTCAGTTGTTATTTTAGAAGTGAGGAGTCAAAAATAGTCAAGAACAAAGTAGACATTTCCTCATCTCTCCCATTCATGTATGTAAAATTTGTACAAATGACCTAAATAGTTAATGTAGTAGTAGGCTCTTTTAGCATGTAAGCAATATAATTTTGGAAGTAATCTTTCCATAAAGAATTAAATGATGGTGTCATTTCTATTGGTTAGGTGCTGTGATCGTCTCTACGCCCCAGGACATTGCATTGGTGGACGCACATAAGGGTGCTGAGATGTTTCGGAAAGTCCATGTGCCTGTAAGCATTTCCGGCTTCATTGTTACAATATGGAACACTCTAACTGAAGAAGCAAGTCATGGAGAAATACAGTCCAAATCTTAATTTATTTCTGTGCAGAAACCTATATGAAAACACTACTTCATCTTTATGGTTACTTTAACAACACACATAGGTGCTAATGTGTATATGTTATATATATATTAATCAGGAAAAATTCTAACTGCATTAAAATATTTTTTTAAAGAATTCTAAAACATCAGGTATGAGTTCTATGACCAAGTACTATCTCTCCAAATACTTGGAGATATTACCAACAGAAAATCCCCCCATGAGTGTTTAGGTGGAGGTACTAGAATAGAGCACTGATAGGAAGACAAGGTGAAAAAGATGACTTTTTTCCTCTGTCTCCAATTTAAGTCATTTGTAGCTCACCATCTCCTAAAAAGTATCTAAGGATTTTCTACACCATATGATGAAATAAAATAAATCTAAAATGTAGTAATATTAAGAAAAAGGATAATTAAAATCAGAATGAGAAGCAAATCTGTAAACAAACTACATGCCATTAAGGAACTTAAATACATGCTAGAAGTAATCCATGAATTTTTTAGCAATCACATAGAGCCTTTATAAAACTGTCCATTTCCATGAGATTAGAAAGAACATGATATTCAAGAGAAGAAGAACTGAGACCAGAGAGGCATAAATCTCCCCTAGGTTCTTAGAAAAGACTGTTTATATAATGAACACACTGATTGCCTTTTTTTAAAACTATAAGTAGAGGGTTCATCCTCCTAGCCTGCATCAGCAAAAGCAAGCGGACTTAGGCCAGAGTATAGTTTAGAACAAGCATTTTTGTACAAAGCCAATGTGATGCCTCCATCCATATGATTATCTAGTGGCTTTGCTTAATTCAGGGATAGATTTTAGAGCTTATAGAGCAGAGTTTTTTAGTCTTCAGCCCATAAATTAGCTTCAGGAATCTCATGATTCTTTCTCCCTCCACCCCTCCCCCACTCCCAAATCATATGTTCACTTGAGTTTGTTTTAGTATGGAGAGAATTCATAACTTTCATTGAATTCTTCAATGAAACTAACACAGTATAAGAGCCAGTGATGTACTAGCATGAATGGGCTCTTTCACAAATATTTTTCTCCCAGGGGAGCACATCTGAAAAGTATAAAATAATAGAGTAGTGGACTTGAGATGATCCTCTTTGACAAGTACCTCTTCTCCCTTGCCAGTTAGTGCAGAGCTGTATGCATTAACAAGCTGTGGAGCTCTGGACTGGGTCCAGATTGACTTAGGAAAATTGAGGAGCCTAATAAGGATGATCTGAGGGTATTCCCACAATCAGAAATATTTAAGGCCTATCTTTATATATGGATAAATGAATGATAAAACCCCCATGGTATTATGTGTTGTGAATTTTAGCTTGGAAAATTTTGAAAGCAATGGTAATCAAGTGCACACCTCAGAAAAATGTCTCATTAAAGCACATAGTTTGCAGGGCGCCTGGGTAGCTCAGTCAATTCAGCTCAGGTCATGATCCTAGAGTCTGGAGATTGAGCCCCACATCGGACTCCCTGCTCAGCAGGGAGTCTGCTTCTCTCTCTGTCTCTCCCTCCTGCTTGTGTTCACTCTCTCACTCGCTCACTCACTCTCTCTCAAATAAGTAAATAAATAAAATTAAATAAATAAAATCTTCAAAGCACATAGTTTGAGCAATTATGCCCTCCAAAATAAACTAGGTACAAGTAATACTTACCCACCCAAATAACTAAGTAAGAATACTTACATGGGATTTTAAAATATAAATCAGCAAAAAGTAAGAGAGACGTCTATCTACCAAAAATTATGAGAGCAAGTAATACATAATCCTTCTTTCTAGCAGAAATTAGGTGACAGAGCCAGTTGTCTGTTCCTGCCACTTCAAGGTTAATCGTCATCCTATCAGCATACAAACAAGTGAATGCTTAAGTTCTCATTCTGTAAGATGAGGGTAAGAGGCATATGTCCAGTTTACTTTAAAGTATCATGAAATTATTGAGGAAAAAGTTTTTTAAAAAGCAGAAACCAGGGATCCTGGGTGGCGCAGCAGTTTGGCGCCTGCCTTTGGCCCAGGGCGCGATCCTGGAGACCCGGGATCGAATCCCACGTCGGGCTCCCGGTGCATGGAGCCTGCTTCTCCCTCTGCCTGTGTCTCTGCCTCTCTCTCTCCCTCTCTCTGTGACTATCATAAATTAAAAAAAAAAAAAAGGTAAAAAGCAGAAACCAACATTTTTTTATTTCCCATTCTGTAAATTACCATTTTGTACACCAAGAGACTATTTTAACGAATGCTGTCACTTGATGTGACTATGGCTATGGGGCGGGTTTTACATGCACTTTGCTAGTTGGGAGTCTAATGACCATAGATGGCAAATTCAGCCATGCACCTTTTTAGTCTCTAGGTTATTTTCATTTACCTGCAGCACCTGATAGGTACTGCCATCTAAGTAAAGAGGCAATCTTATAATTGTTCTGACAGATTTTTCTCTACACTTTAGGTAGGACAAAGGGACAAAAGGTGAGACAGAGACTCCTATGGAACATAACAGTGGGAAAGAGGGATGGTCACTAGGTGGGTGCCACTGAAAATGAAAGTTGAAGATACCAGCAAGGAAATACAGTGAGGAAATATTTCAAGTGAAGGATCTTGGGCTGCATAAAGCTCATAGACTAGTGCAAGATTAGTTTTGGAATGAAAGAGCTGTTTGTGATCCAGAAAGTTAATGTTGAAGTTTAAGTTTGCACCAGAATGTGATTGGTCATGGGTGTGTGGGGCTGAAGTGGAATAGAAGTAAAAGTCATTGGAAATGCATAATCCCTCCAAATTGGTTCTTTTGACATCATCCTTATTATAACCCTCTTTTTTTCACTCCTATGTTTCAATTATTTGCTCTCTAAACAGCAAAAATTTTTAAAGGAGGTAGAATATCTTAATCATCTCTTAAGCCTGCAGAACAAGATCCGTGCTCAGTAATGTTTGCAAGTGAATGAGAGAATTTTCCAACAATGAGCTCTAGAAACAATTGGGCAACCATGGTACAGCTAGCTACATTGTAAAGGGAATCCTGGCTATAAGTAGGATGTGGATTTGATGACCTCTGAGATCCTTCTGACACTTAAGAGCCTTGGAATCTAAGTGAAGGCAAAGCATTTGAAATTAGAAAGTGTTCCATAAATGCAAAGGAGTAATTTATGCTTTGTTGATGCCATTTATATTTCATTTTTTTCCTAGTTTTTAGTCTTGCTTTCTGTTTTTTCCCCTTTTGAAGTGCATTAGTTCCCATGGAAACAATGATGTCATTGGAATTCATTGGTTTGAACAGAGTTTAGTAATATCTACAAGAATATTTTGAAGTTAATTTAAATGGTTTCCTAAAACTCAAGGCTTGTGGGACCTGGGTGGCTCAGTCGGTTAAATGTCTGCCTTCTGCTCAGGTCAAGATCCCGGTGTCCCGGAATCAGACCTCCTCATCCATCATCAGGCTTCCTGCTCATCCAGGGAGCCTTCTTCTCCCTCTGCCCTCTCCCTGCTCATGCTCTCTCTCTCACTCACTTTCTCTCTCTCAAATAAATAAATAAAATCTAAATAAATAAATAAATAAATAAATAAAACTTAAGGCTTGGTTAGGGGAAGGAGAAGAGATGAACTATTAAATTCTTTGTTCTCTGCCTGAAATCATATCAGCTCTGCCAAATCCTTGATTATCTCAGTGTTTACAGACTGTTTTTTTTTTTAAATAATAATTTTTTTTCAATCTTACACATTTTGAACTGTGAGTACTTTTTGCATTGTCACTCTTAACCATTTTTATTGCTTCTTCTTCAAAGGAGGCCCAGGCACCTCAACTTGGAGTCCTTCTACCATTTGAACTTAGAGTTTCAGGGATTTCACTATCCAGCCCCAACTTCTTGGGCAATCTCCTTCCCAGTTCCTGAAAAGTGTATTAAAGTATATTTCCCCTCTTACAGCATCTATACATAGGGATCCATTAGTTAATTTTAATTCAATAAGTAGTTTATTTTACAAATATATATTTACTCCTATTGAGTGCCTTCCATAAGCAAAGTACTGTGATAAGTTTCTCTTATTAATTAGAAGAAAAAAAAAAAGAAGGATGAAGGTTTTTGTTTTTGTTTTGCCAAATACCTTATCATCCTATAGACTGGCTCCATTATGGTCAAGGGGCCCTAATTTCTGAAGAACATGAGGACGCTTTCTTCTTTGTGCTAATAAGTAGGGCTGTCATGGAAAAGTCATGATTTTTTTCACATCCCTGTTATTTTGTATATATAGTCCCTTTCCTGATAAACCATCGTTAGCTTGGGAACTCATATTCACATTTCAAATCCCTGCTCAGCTTTACTTTTCCTAGGAAGCTTTTATCAAACTCCCGGAAAAGGTTAATCTTTCTCTGAACTACTTGAACATATGTCTGGTTTGGCCCTTATCCCACTATAGTTTACCTGTCAGTCTCCACAGAAGAAGAATCCTGGAAGGTAAGAAAACATGCTTTAAATATTCTTAAATGCTCAGTTACCTGGTATATAGCAGGCATATAAGTACCTATTATATAGACATTTGCCTGGTATATAATGGCAGCCACAATCTGCTGTTGTCTTTATCCCCAGCTCATAGGCCACTCTGCCTTGCATTCTCTCTGCCACAGTGAAACTGGTCATGTTCCACTTCTTTTAGACTTCCACAGACTTTCTTTCTTCATGGCCTTGAGCATGCTGTTTCTCCGCATGAGATCCCTTTACCTTCATTTTTCACTTGGTAGCTCCTTTTTATCCTTTGGTACTTAGATTGAATGATTGTTTCTCTGGGAGACTGCCCTGTCCCTGTTAACTAGGTGGGCTTGTTCTGGTGCATAATCAAGTAAGACTCTAATTCCCCTTTTGTAGCTGTTTTCATATTTGTCAGTACTTTTCACATTTGTGCATGCCATGCTATAAGCTTTGAGTG